AAGAAGAAGAAGAAGAAGGAGAATAAGGGGAAGGAGGAAAAAGAAAGAAAAAAAAACCGAATCTGCAACCCATATTCGGAAGAAGAAGAAAAAAAAAACCTTCATCTTCCCCAGATTCAGAGGAAGAAGAAGAAGAAGAAGAAAAATGAGAAGGAAGAATAAGGAAGAAGGAGAAGAAGGAGAAGGAAGAAGGAGAAGAAGAAGAAGAAGGAGAATAAGGGGAAGGAAGAAAAAGAAAGAAAAAAAAACCGAATCTGCAACCCATATTCGAAAGAAGAAGAAGAAGAAGAAGAAGAAGAAGAAGAAGAAGAAGAAGAAGAAGAAAAAAAGAAGAAGAAGAAGAAGAAGAAGAAGAAGAAGAAGAAGAAGAAGAAGAAGAAGAAGAAGAAGAAGAAGAAGAAGAAGAAGAAGAAGAAGAAGAAGAAGAAGAAGAAGAAGAAGAAGAAGAAGAAGAAGAAGAAGAAGAAGAAGAAAAAAACCGAATCTGCAACCCAGATTCAGAGGAAGAAGAAGAAGGAGAAGAAGGGGAAGGAAGGAGGAAGAAGAAGAAGAAGAAGAAGGAGGAAGAAGGAAAAAAAAACCGAATCTGCAACCCAGAAGAAGAAAAAAAAAAAGGAAGAATGAGGAAGAATGAGGAAGAAAAAAAAAAAAAAACCGAATCTGCAACCCAGATTCGGAGGAAGAAGAAGAAGAAGAAAAAAAAAAAAGGAACCCAATTCGTCCCCCTTTTCCCCCTGCAACCCAAAAGAAGAAGAAGAAGAAAAAAAAAAAAAAAACCAAACCCCATAAGAAAAAGAAGAAGGAGGAAGAAGATGAAAGGAAAAAAAACAAAAAAACAAAACATGGATGACACATGGCGCCCAGTCATTGTCCACATGGGTGCCACGTCACAATTAACGGTAGATTTAACAGTTTGACTAACAGATGTATGAGACTGTCCCAAAATTTACACTTTAGGTATGACTCTGGGACGAAAAAAACTTGATGTACTAAATGTTGAAAATCACGAAACATGAGGGTAGTAAACAGTCTTTTACCCTTTATAATAATAAATAATAATATTTTAATAAAATAGACTAGACTATTTAGTTTTAGGGGTGAAGATGTATTTAGCCAATTACTAGTCATTTGAGTGGATTCAATGGACTTTAGGCCAACTCATTTTTTAGGAGTGGAGTTGCTCTTAAGGGCGAAGGTTTTTTTTAGTTACTATTACACCACACCGCCACATAGTTTGATAAATTATTGTAAGATCCCACATCGTCCAGGGGAGTAGATCATTTAAGCCTTATATGTATATTTTCATGTCTACTTAGCACGAGGCTTTTTGGGAGCTCACTGGCTTCGGGTTCCATTGGAACTTCGAAGTTAAGCGAGTTTGCATGAGAGCAATTCCATAATGGGTGACCCACTGAGAAGTTCTCGTGTGAGTTCTCAGAAACAAAACTGTGAGGGCGTGGTCGGGGCCCAAAGCAGACAATAACGTGTTACAGCGGAGTCGAGCCCGGGATATGGTGGGGGCTCAGGCCGGGATGTGATAATTTGGTATCAGAGGCAATCCCTAGTCGGAAGTATGCCGACGAGGACGTCGGGCCCCTAAGAGGGTAGATTGTAAGATCTTACATAGCCCAAGGGAGTGGATCCTCTAAGCATTTTATGTATATTCTCATCTCTACCTAGCACAATGCCTTTTGGGAGCTCAGGTTTCATTGGAACTTCGAAGTTAAGTGAGTTTACGCGAGAGCAATCCCATGAAGGGTCACCTGTTGGGAAGTTCTCATGTGAGTTCCCCGAAACAAAACCATGAGATCATGGTCAGGGCCCAAAGCGGACAATATCGTGCTACGACAGAGTCGAGCCCGGGATATGGTGAGGGCCTGGGCGGGGATGTGACAATTCATCGCCTATGGGAGTGGATCCTGTAAGCCATATATATATATATATATATATATATATATATATATATATATATATTCTCATCTTTACCTAGCACGAGGTCTTTTGGGAGCTCATTGAATTCGGGTTCCGTCGGAACTCCGAAGTTAAGCGAGTTCGTGAGAGGGCAATCCCATGATGGGTGACTCACTGGAAAGTTCTCGTGTGAGTTTTCAAAAACAAAACCGTGAGGGCATTGTTGGGGCCCAAAGCTAACAATATCATGCATTTGGGAGCGAGCCAGGGAGTTGGCCAGGATGTGATGTTGGTTGGGGCCCAGGCCAATGTATTTGGTATCAGAGCCAACTAAAGGGCGAATACTGTAAGGATCAGGAGGCCCAATAAAGGGGGAGTATGTAAGGATCCCATTGGGCCCAAGGGAGATGTCCTCTACATCCTTGGGTATCCATAGCTTTACCTAGCACGAAGCCTTTTTGGTGCTCACTAGCTTCGGGTTCCATCGGAACTTCGAAGTTAAGCGAGTTCGCGTGAGAGCAATCCCATGATAGGTGACCCGCTGAGAAGTTTTCGTGTGAGTTCTCAGAAACAAAACCGTGAAGGCGTGCTCGGGGCCCAAATCAGACAATATCGTGTTACGGCGGAGTCAAGCTCGTGATGTGGTGGTGGCCCGGGCCGAGATGTGACAATTATTTTATATTGTAATATTTGAATTTATTTATACTAATACTATACTTTATATTCATGGTATGTTAACTTTGTTATCCACTAATATTATATATCATTATACTTTTTATGTTAGCACTAAATGTTACATGTTACTTATTTATTATTCATGGTATGTTTAACTGTAAATTAAATTAACATAATATGTTAATAACATCACTTAATTGTGTGACTGTCACACTAAAGAACTTTCTCAATCTAAAGTTTGTTTAGCTGTTGTAGAACCTAGTTGGGAACCTGTTTAATGACTAATTCTAGAACCAACTAGCTAGTCTGGAATAAATCCCAATCTTTATATTATTTTTTTAATTTTCGCATTTACATACTATTTTTAGTTTTGAGAGATGTAAATGTTCGTGGGACTGATGTGTGTGACAATGGATAAATTTTTAGTTGTGACAGGAATACAGATGGTACACCACGTGTTTTTTTGTAAGTGGTGGAAACTTTTAATTTTTAAGTTATTAACCTTTTAACATACATATCCCACCATTTATATAGGAACATGTGATATGCCATCTCGTGTGACGGTCACATTGAAAAATCCCTTGTGACAATGAACTCACTTCCTCGGTCGCAGCTATTCTTAGAGACAACATAATTTGGGTTGCTTCCAACCCAATTTTACAAATCAAAGCTGCTACTGGTAGTATTAATACCATATATACTCCTACTTTGCGAGAAATTTTTTAGTATGTCAAGAACACCGTCGAACACACTAACTGTTCTAATACAATTAGTTATAATTTTTCTTTTTACGTTTTCTATCAATTGTATTATTACACATAACTTACCGTGCACCAGACAAACTGAAAGATCTCTCCTACTCTACTATATATATCTGATTGGTTATTATGTAGTGGTAGTCAGCCATTTCCCAAACAACACATCCAAAGACGACGACGTTGTTTTGTTTTTGCATAAATGGATAATTGTTTGTTTTTGTCAAATATATAGATATATTGTTGGCTTTTGGCTTGTTTGTGAGTTATGGAGGCCAGCTAAGCAAGGTTGATGCATTTTATCCCTTTGCAAAAAAAGTGATTTAACTTTTTAGTTAATTTTAACGTTTTCTTAAGGGTAAATCTTTGTTGGGTTTGTTTTTAGTAGCTACAGTATTGTCTAATTTTTTATTTTAATTTAATTAGTCCTAAAACTTGTTACATCAAAACCAAATTATTGAGAATAAGTGGATCATACGCATAGCATTATCTTTATTTTGAGATCCCCGACTTTGTGAACCAGACAGATTGGATGGCTAGCAAAGAGGGAGCCTCTACTTTGTCATCTTATTTTGAGAGGCCAAGATTCGATCTACTTGTGCAAATCACATACTGCGTTAGTTTCTTCAGCTAGTCACTGATTGAATCAAATAGTAATATCTTGGGACATTTTGGATGCGGTCCCTAGCTATCAATATTCTTTGATTGAAACCTTGTTAGTTTTTAGTTTTTGATTGAGGTCCCTGGCATTAATATAATAATGTAAGTTACTATATTTTTAAATTAAAAATTAAAAATTGAAATTTGTAATTGTTTATATTAATGAGATTTTAAATAAAACCCATAATTTATGGGATTAAAAATAATAAAATATAAATTATACTCTCTATTATATTGTGTGTGTGTGCATATATGTATGGGTACATTAACCATAATTAACAAAAAAAGGTATTGTACCAAAACATGGATACATTCTCAAATCAACGAAAAAGAATGTACCCATATAATTTTAAACATGGATTAAAAAATTTGAATGGATTTTATATTAAAAAAAGGGTACATTTACATATAACAAATTGATATATTTGAGAATGGGTACATTTAAGATTTAAAAAATTGAAAAATTATATGAATGGGTACATTTAAGATTAAAAAATTGAGAATCTTTTTATATATATATAAAAAACTAATAGGTACAAACTTTTTTTAATTTAATTTTTTATTATTTTAGAAATGTTTGAATTGAAAATTAATTAGAAGTTTAATAGAGGTGTGAGTATTAAACCCTAAATTAATTACTAATTTTTATATTAAAAATTATATAATAAACATGTAAATTCATTATCACATTAATGATATGAACTTGAATCAAAATTTGAGAACTAATAAGGTCTTAGTCAATGAACAGTAAGAACTAGGGACCGGATACTAATTTTCCCTAGTATTGTTAATTGTTTGGACTACGTTAAGTAAGGTGTTAGGTTTTGTTAGCGACAGTAGCCCATATGCCAGTAGCGATTGTCTAAAAAATATGTGGGTCGAAGTCTAATTAATTAGTTCGAACAAACTATGTGTGAAATTAATTAAAAAGAAATAAAAAAGTGGACTATATAAATAGCAGTACCATATTCCTTAAAAAATATACAAAGATACTTTCAATTTTTCCCACCCCTTTTTTTGGGTGGTATAAAGAATGTAGAGAGATTTATTTGATCTTCTCTGTACTACTAAAGGAAAGAAGAGATGGTTTATGGCGTGTATGGGGTATCCTAAGCTTTAGATGGCACCATTTGTTAATTAAGGAACTTATTCCATGTTTGCCATCACCAATGGGAAGCATTCCTACCTTGGCAAAAGTTTTGAGGCTAGGGAACTCTTTCCAGGGCTATTGCTGGTCTTGGGTCCCAAGATCAACCAATTTGGCGGCGGACAGGTTAGTATCGTGTAGTACTACGGAGATGTGTAATGTCACTTGGGTCAATCGACCTCCATCTTCGTTGATTTTTGTTTTAAATAAGGATGGATTGCCTTGTACCCCTTAATCTTTTATGGCAGGGGAGGGGGTGATGCTCAAACTCGGTTCTAGCATCTTCACTCTTTAACTCCCTTTGCTGCTTGATTTTTTTGTTGGTCTGCTATTGCTTGGCTTGGTGTAGGCTTCCTTTACTGTTGTGGCATCTTTGCCCTAGAAGTGTTATTCCAGTTTCCCAAAAAAAAAGTGGGATTCAACAAAAGATTGAAATTGACAATCAATCAGTGGCATCCATTTTGAAGCGCTTAAAATCCACAAAATTATAATTTTCATTCTTTTTTTTCCTTATACAAGCGATATTAAGAAGAAGATTCGAACACAATACATCAAGTATAAAGGTAAATACTATTAATCAGTTCAGGTAAAACTTATTTTACATTGCAGATTGGTTAATTAAACCAGTTAGCTAAGATAGTGTGCTTTTTTCTTGTACCGAATTCGAATCTTCCCCAGAAATGACTTTTAGATAATAGATGAAGGTACCTCCATAGATGAAAAGGAAGATTGGCCCCTCGTGAGAGAATCATATACATGGTGGTGGAACAAGATGGACAGTAATATCATATACAGATTTCTTTAAATTAGGTACAGTACCCTAGTGGGTGGGGAATACATTCAGAAACAGGCAAGTGCTCTTTTCTTAAACTAGTGTTTTATAAAGAGATGGAAGAGAGGGAGTGGGGTAGATGACACAATGTAGGGTTACGGAGTCTTCTCTACCAGTTCATAATTGTCCTTTTTTTGAGATATAGAACCGAGAACATAATCAAATGCATGTGGCTTTTGGTATAAATTGTTCAAAAAACAGTGGCCATGCACTTGAACAAACCAAGCCAACTTAGTCAAGTGGTAAAAAAGAACAATAATTTCTTACTGATTTGGGGGGAGAGAGCTTTTTTACTAGTGCTGCATGTCTTGATTAGGGTTTGTGGTCAACGATCTCTTTAAACTCATTTGTTTTTTTTTTTTTTTTTGGAAAGCAACTCATTTGTTTGACGCCCTTTTTGGCTCCAAAGAGGACCATGACGTTGATGGGAAGCTCTCCTTCATTTGTTAATTCGACATGATTCTGCTAATCAGGGAAGGTGGAGTAAATGGTGGGAAAGGGTTTGGAGAGAGGTGATTAAAAACTTATAGTTGTGTTAGGGATAGTCGTTTATGTGTGTTTGTCAACCATTGATGAAAATGACTGGATTGTAGGTGAAAAATAGTAGAAACAAAGTGATTAAAAGTTCAAATTGTATTAAGTTTACAATCCTACGTCCATGTATAATTGTCCATTGATAAAAGTGAGTTCGACAATTTCAGATCAACGACAAACATGAACTGGGTATGGAGCCAAAGAAAGATATATAATATAGGAGATGACCTAACTATATGGAACATAGATACCATACCTCTGTGTCTTAGGTGCAAGCAAGTAGTTGTGTGATCTTAATTCATCAGTGAAGCTTATTGTAGCGTACTGGTCTGCATGTTTCAATCACGAGGGAGATAAGTGCGCGCCTGTCAGTGGACATGAAGGGGCCACGGACGACAGGTCGTATTAGGATCCCTACTTGATAGAAACACTTCCATTTATCTTTCATCATTGCCATGCAATATATTTCCTTTATTTTTTCATTAGAGAAATTCAAGAGCCATGCATTGCATATTAACGGTTAGAACGATGAATTCAAGCACAAAACTTCGACTGCAGAGTTATAATTGTTTGAGATCTACTTCTTTATTAGCTATAAATATAATGTATTTTTGCTCACCATTATTAAGTGATCGTAATGCTTACTATCTTAATTATTATTAAGATATGATTTAAGTAAAAACTGAGAATTCATCAGTGCCTTAGAGTACTCATAGGGATAAAATGTAAACAATGGTAGTACCGTAGTGCTATGCTTGAAGTGATAATGTACCATAGTTAAGCTTTCTTTTGTAACATACTATTATGAAAAAATAACCTATAACTCGAAGAGATTAATGTACTAGTCTAACAATGTTGAGGATAAATTTTTTAGTCTATCTATCAAAGTGTTATAATACAAGTGGTTAGATACTTAAAAAAAATTTTCAACCACTTATATTATAATACCTGATATATTAGACCGTGTTCTCAGCACGTTAAAAAAGAAATCTCTTGATGTTTAGTTAATTGCTTTGTCAAGTTGTAAACACCTTTATTAGGTGCTACTCCATTCTTAATAATCTTTTATGTTTGAACGCAAATGATAACCGTTGGATCAGCCTTAGAGAATCTCAAGATTGATAATCATGAAAGCAACAGGCATTTAGTCCAAAGAAACATTTGAACATCAAGTCAACGTGCAATCCGGGGGTCCACATTACACGTGCAGCCATGAACGTCGTGTAAAATATGCTGTAGCAGTGGCCATTCTGGTGCAGTGCAGGCACAGGTAAACCAGTGTTTGGTAACCCGACCAGGACCGTTGATTCTTCATCAGCTGGCATTATCTCAGCAGATATGCGGACCCATAAATATAGAAAAAGAAAAAGCAGCTTTTGCTTTTAAAAGTTGGTGCTTTTGATTGTTTATCTGGAGGGATGTCTGTTGAATGAGGAGACAGAAACCAGCATGGTAAGTATCAACCGATCTCATCTATATGATCTTTGCACAATCAAACTTTGTGAGGAGTGAGATTTTCTTGTTAGAAGAATTTCACATTTCTAATTTATTGACGGAAGTTTTATATGCATCCGTTAATATCAGTCGACATGTGTGAGCAACCGGTTTTAATATTGTGAATAATTTGGTAACTGTTTGATTAATGAATTCACATTTTCATGATGAAGTTTGGCATCATAAAAATCTATTAAATATGTTTTTATTGAATTTTTATTGGTTTGGATTCAAGTATTGTCACATATAACTTACAAATTTGATCGTTTATTGATAAAAACTAAAAAGCCAACATTTGATTTGATGTTAGTCTTTTTCACAATAAACAATTTGGTTTCATTTTGATAGAATTGAAAACTTAAAAACTAAAAATAATCAGTTGAAGAATGATATCCACTAAATTTAGAAGTTTGGAATTTCTTCACTGTACGCTCGAATTTCTTCTAGTATAATTCATTGGAAAAATATGAGATCGAATTTGAGAATCAATAAATGGCCAACTTAATGGAATGTTTGATTCCCAGGAAGCCACTTTGGAAGCTCAGCAGATCATCAGAGCCAAGTGCTATACAGATTTTCCCTCTCTCTCGCTCTCTCTCCCTCTCTCTCTCTCAAAGCTGACCATAGTGAGTGTTATTTTTTGATTAAGGTGTCTTAACTATAACTTTTACAGTGCTTAACAGGTAATAATTCACTTGCTTTACATATTATAATCAAGGAATATCTAATAAATATATAAATATCTAATAAATATATAAAAATGCATGTAGCTTTTCTTTAACCCAATACATGGTTGAAGGAATTTTCTTTTGCAATCATCTTTTGCAATTATCTAGTGAGCGAGTTGCTTTTACATTTTATATACTCCTTCTCTCACTCCTCTCTCTCTCCCCTTTACTTTTTTTCTTTACTGAGCCAGTGGCAGCAGGCCAGGCATGCTTCTTCTCCTTTAAGTGCTTTTTCAAGCCAAACAAAACCCTGCTTCTTTCTTGGCTCTTGGGCCTGTCAGTAGGCTCTGAGTAAGTGAGTGAGTGCAATTCTCTGGTTTTTCCTCTGAGACAAAATCATCATACACCTTGCAAACAAAACAAAAGCTTGAAACTTTCAAGTTTTTTGGATAGAAAGCTAAAAACCCAACTTCGAGATTTTGGTTTTGTGCAAGTTTTCACACTGCTTTTTCCAGCTCCATTTTTGCTTCTTCCTATTGGGTTTTGGTTGTTTTTGGAGATTCAAATCAATGGAAATTAGGACGGAAGGTAAAGCTTTGTGCTTTGTGGCATTTTTCTGCTTTTGGACTTCTGCAACTGGTTTGCTTTCTCCAAAGGGTGTTAACTATGAAGGTAACCAAAGACATAACGATATTTTAAACTACTTTAGTCTACGGGGTCGTAGTCTTAATTATGTTTGCTTAGCCATATTGAGAAACCATGACACAGAGTAGTCTCTTATTATTTTCAAACAATTTTTTGCAGTGCAAGCATTGGTGAGCATTAGAGAAGCTCTCAAGGATCCTCGCGGCGTTCTTCGAAATTGGGATGGAACTTCTGTTGATCCCTGCATCTGGAACATGGTTACTTGTTCTCTTGATGGCTTAGTCATTGGCCTGTAAGTAGTATTGCTCAAAAAGCACCAAAAATACTAAGTGAATAGGGAAATTTGAAAAATGCACCATGCAATATTTTTTTAATAAAAAAAGAATAAAAATTTAAGCTGTAGAAATTGTTTTTTGTGCAGGGGAACTCCAAGCCAGAATTTATCAGGCACTTTGTCACCAAGCATTGGAAACTTGACAAATCTCCAGCTTGTGTGAGTATTAAGTGACCAATAATTATTGAAGTAATACAAAATGTTAATCATGTTTTACTAATTAAATGAGGTGTTTTGCAGTACATTTCAGGATAATCATATAACAGGATCGATCCCCGCCGAGCTCGGGAGGCTCCAAAAGCTTCAAACACTTGATCTCTCCAGCAACTTGTTCAATGGAGAAATTCCCAGCACTCTATCACACCTGAAAAGCCTACAATACCTGTGAGTTGACCTCAGAATTGATTATTTTTCCAAAATTCAAATTATTGTCACGAAATGGTTATCAAACGTGTCTCAAAAACGAAACATGAGTCACATAGTTTGGAATTTGTGTTGCAAGCAGGCGGCTAAACAATAACACTCTCTCTGGGGCAATTCCTTCATCATTTGCTAATATGACCCAGCTGGCATTTCTGTAATTCTCTCCCAAGTTTATACTTTTGATATTTTCTACTAATCCTGTTGAAATATGATCTGAATAAGGTTTCTTTGGATTTTCTGTAATCGTTTAGGGACATGTCTTATAATAATTTGAGTGGTCCGGTCCCAAGGTTTCCTGCTAAAACATTCAAGTGAGTTATTTCAATGTTGCTTTTTTTTCCTCCTTCCAAGTTTTTGGTTTTTGAAAAGTTGAAAACAGAAGATATAAAGCTAAAACTCATGTAATTAGTTTCTGGATTGACAGCGTTGTGGGAAACCCTCTGATATGTGCCACCGGAAAGGAGCAAGACTGCTCCGGCACGACACGACCGCCGCTATCTTTGCCCTCGAATAATTCAACAAGTAATCATATATACTTACTGCTTGTTTCTGTCAGTTTAGGGTACTTCTAGGCTTCCGTTAATTGGCGTTTTAGTTTTTGGATGTGAAATGGTTTATCATGAACATTTCCTCAGAAGTTCTTAGCTGTTATTTAATACTAATTTTTTATATGGGGTGCATTCAACAATTTGTGAGGTGCCAAAATTAATGTTTTTGAATTTCAAAATCTGCTTTGTTCATGTTGTTCTCCTGCAAATTATTATCTTCATGATTCAACAACTTCGTGCAAATGACTTTTTTGACCAAATAAAATAAAATTTTTGAATTTCAAAATCTACTTTTTTCATGTTGTTCTCTTATCTTCGTGATTCAAAAGCTTTCTGTAGAAACCATAATTTGTTTTTCTTAACGTGTCTAGATTCTCAAGCCGCCGAGAGACCTAGGAGCCACAAAATCGCCTTAGCGTTTGCCTCGAGCCTTGGCTGCATCTGCCTTCTAATTCTTGGTTTTGGTTTCCTTCTTTGGTGGAGGCAGAAACACAACAAGCAAATATTCTTAGATGTTACCGGTTAGTATATAAAGGCAACTGATTTAATCAGATAAAGTGAAACAAGCTGTCTTTACTGACACGAATTATAAATTTCAGAACAACATCACGAAGAAGTTTGCCTTGGAAACTTGAGGTCGTTTCACTTCAGAGAACTTCAAGCAGCAACACACAACTTCAGCAGCAAAAACTTGGTTGGTAAGGGTGGTTTCGGGAATGTCTACAAAGGATATCTCCGAGATGGTACAGTAATAGCAGTCAAAAGGCTCAAGGACACGAATGCCATAGGTGGGGAAATCCAATTTCAGACCGAACTTGAGATGATCAGCCTCGCTGTGCACAGGAACCTCCTCCGGCTTTATGGTTTTTGCATGACAGCCAAAGAGAGGCTTTTGGTTTATCCTTACATGTCTAACGGAAGTGTTGCTTCACGTCTCAAAGGTAACAAACCTTTCCTCCATTCTGAAATTATTACGCTGTCATACCTGATTGAGTTTAAATTAAGATTAACATTCATAATTTACTTCCAATATCACAGCCAAGCCACCCCTGGATTGGAGTACAAGGAAAAGGATTGCATTGGGAGCTGGAAGGGGACTATTGTACTTGCATGAGCAGTGTGACCCCAAGATCATTCACCGTGATGTGAAGGCTGCGAATATTCTGCTAGATGATTACTGCGAGGCTGTTGTTGGAGATTTTGGGTTGGCAAAGCTGTTGGATCACCATGATTCACACATTACAACCGCTGTTAGGGGCACCGTGGGGCACATTGCCCCGGAGTACCTCTCAACAGGCCAGTCCTCTGAGAAGACTGATGTTTTCGGGTTTGGTATCCTCATACTCGAACTAATATCTGGACAAAGAGCTCTTGAGTTTGGGAAAGCAGCAAACCAGAAAGGGGCAATACTTGACTGGGTGAGCCAAGCAAAGATGTTTTCCCTGCATTTTTTCACCAAAATAAATGATTCCATATGTTACCTATCTCAAAATTTTTCCTCCAGGTGAAGAAAATCCAACAGGAAAAGAAGTTTGATGTGCTGGTTGGCAAGGAACTGAAAAATGACTATGATCCAATAGAGGTCGAAGAAATGATTCAAGTAGCTCTCTTGTGCACTCAAAATCTTCCTAGCCAGAGACCAAAGATGTCTGAAGTGGTTCGAATGCTTGAAGGAGATGGACTTGCGGAGAAATGGGAGGCTTCTCAGAGAGCTGAATCTAATAGGTGCAGAGCCAATGAGTTTTCCTCCTCGGAACGGTACTCTGATCTTACCGATGACTCTTCATTGCTTGCACAAGCAATGGAGCTGTCTGGACCAAGATAATACTACTCTCTAAGTATATAGAGAAATTATAGGTCAAGTTGATAGTAAAGAATCAAGAATATGAGTGAGTGTTGGGGTTGGTTTGTATATTAGCATCATAATATTTTGTCATATTGAACCTCCAAAGAGTTGTGTAAGTTGGAGAAAAACTCTTGTGTAACAAAAGACACTATATGACAAGCATTTATTGGACGAGTGATGTCACTAATTCTATGTCTTGGTTGCAGGAGAGAATCTCTTGTTAAATTCTTGACTATACAGAAATTTGATATGAGAAAGTGACATGTAGATTGGTTGAGTGTTAAATGCCTTTTTCCATTCGTCTTGAGTGAAATAGATATAAAGAGAAGTTCCAACTAGGGACCTTGAGATTGTAAGAATAATGTTACTGGGATTGAATTTTGATTGTTTTTCTTGATTTCTTGAGAATACAAGGATGATGTTGTGTGTTCTGTTTTCTTGGAACTCTTATTGTGTTTGTTGGTGAACTGGAACTTTCATTGGGGACTTTCATGTATATTCAATTGCTGAAAAGACCAAAGAGACCATATCATGTCTTCGACATTAACGCCTCTCTCAACCTAGTGGATGGACGAATTAGTCATTTTAAAAGCACTTTTCAAATGAGCACATAAATGATAAGGCATTTGTTTTGGTAGCCATGCTGGCTTGGTGAAGCTCTCTCTGATCTTGATTGCCTGTTACTTTGGCGCCTTGTTTGTACACTATCATTTGCCTTTTGTCTGGTATCAATTTTATTCTTCTGACCAACCAAAATTGCAGACGTGAACAATCATGGAGTAATTATATTTAACAAATTAGCCGATCTCCTTTGTTCCCCACCAAATAATAATTTTTAGGGTCAGAAGATAGCTAGAAACAAAAGTGGCATCTTGAATGTGTCACAATCATTTACCAAAAGTATCCAATGAATCAAATTATAAATAAGGAGCAGGGAAATTTCACTTGGGGAGGGAATGATCAGTAGGTTCAGAGGCATAGCAAAAGAGAAAAACAGTAACGAAATGATTTGGTTTGGAGATCCGGTGATCACTCTTTTGAGCTTTCTGTGTTTATTCATTCTCTTAGCTCTCATCAAGATCTTTCAAACTATGGTAGACTCCAAATCGCATTCAAAATTCGCTCGCTTTGCAGGGAATCAAAGGCGTCCTTCTTACAGGCTTGTCCACGGAAGCACCCAAGAAATCGTGAGCATGAAAAGCGAAGCAATGGGAAGGCCCTTGAATTTATCACATGACATACAGTCCACAGTTCAACCTCATATTCACTCCTGGACCAAGATATATGGTGATAAACTCTTGCCTAGTTTAGTTTATAATTAACCGTAGTTTGAAAGAAATAATTTGGCAATTTCTTTTTTCTACGACAGGGAGGAGCTTTCTGCAGTGGTATGGTACCCAAGCTCAACTAGTTATTGGGGGACCTGAGTTGTGGAAAGAGATACTAAATAACAAAGAGCGAGCTTATCCGAAAAGGGAGCCTCCACCTTATGTAAAGAAACTATTGGGAGATGGCCTTGCATCAACTGAAGGTGAAAAATGGGGGAAACTGCGAAAGCTCGCCAACCATGCCTTCCATGGAGATATCTTAAGAGTAAGTTATGCAGACTTACAGTTATTGGTAATTCTTGCAAACAGTACTAAGAAAAAGCATAAATTCAAAGCGAATTATATAATTTTGCAATATGGTGTTGTTTTTACTAGAGTATGATTCCGACGATGACAACTACAATGCTATAAAGGTGGAAAGATCATGAAGGAAAAGAAATCAAAGTGTTTGAGGAATTTAGGTTGTTGACTTCAGAAGTCGTTTCGAGGACAGCATTTGGTAGCAGCTACTTAGAAGGGAAGAATGTTTTCGAGATGTTGATGAAGTTATTTTTCTTTATATTTAAATAATTTCAAACTCAGGTTTCCTGGCATCAGGTATTTTCCTTCTAACTAAATTCAGCATTTAGGAAGATTATGTATCCTTCTCGAGTTTAATGTTTCATTTTATATTGCAGCAAGTTTTTTAAAACCAGCAATGAGGTCGAATCAAAGAAGATCGAGAAAGGAATACGAGATAGCATATTAGAAATTGTTAAGAAAAGAGAAGAGAAGGCAACGAGTGGAGGAGAAGACGGCTTTGGGAGTGATTTTCTTGGATTACTTGTAAAGGCTCGCCATGATGCCAATGACAAGCAAGGGATTTCGGTTGACTATTTGGTTGATGAATGCAAGACATTTTATTTTGCTGGACAAGAAACCACTAATACTTTGCTGGCTTGGACTGTCTTTCTTCTGGCTTTCCATACGGATTGGCAGTTTGAACTTTGAAGCACACAAAAGGAGGTTCTGCAATTATTTGGCAAACAAACTCCAAATGCCGATGGACTTGCCAAACTGAAAACAGTAAGAAGTCACACAATTTTATTGCTTGTCTAAGTGACAAAAATGTTCAGTTGTTTGTTTTGGGAGTATGAATCTGTTGACCCTAAAAACTACCAAGCCTACGTGGCGCGCAGGCCGAGTAATTTACGAGCTAACTACGTCATTCTATGAATGTGGGGCGTGCCAACTCGTCGGCCGATGAGTAAAATTTGTTGATGTTACGTTGGGTGCGCTGCTGACTTCTGAATCTTGCGACTGCGGCCGAGGAAGGAACACTTTCGGCCTTCAGGTTCTAGAGCCTGAAGACAAAGCTGCTAGTTCTGCGAAGTTCAATATCAAATTCGCCTTTCAATGTGCCGAATGTAATAACTTGTAACACCTCACTTCGCCGAGACTTGGATAGATAACCAACCGTCCTTGCCGCAGTGCTGTTGATGCCAACGGAAGATGCTACGAGATTGGATGATTCTACAGCGACAGAGCTATCTATGCTGACTGAAGATATCACCGGTTGCTTTCACAGTATTGTTGATGCCAACGGAAGATGTGTCAGCGAAAAGAGAAAATAAAAAATCTCAAAGTTGTTGAGAGAGTTTGCGTAGGACAGTTGTGTGTTGAATTGGAGGTTCTTTTGAATGGTTCACGACCTCTTGTATTTATAGTAGCTGTATATCTGCTGCGACATCCAGGCTAAAATAATATTCCTCAGAATATTATCTTTAATATCCCACGGATTGCTTTTCAATTCTATCTCTTGCATGCAATCTCTTTTGAGCAATTAGTCTTTGATTTGATAATGTCTGACAACATCATCATCACCCTAAAAAGACCTAGCCACCCTAGGCTTCTTAAATGTCACCATTATCCAATACTTTTATCTTGGCATTCCCCCATACTTTTAGACTAGGTGCATGCAACGAATGTGATGTCAATCTTCTGAAGATACACCCAAGCCGTTCTAATCCGCTGCACTGCTAACAACACCAAATTAATCCGGACTGTTCCGCTTGCTTGGAGGTATAATTTGCATCTTATCTTATCACATTCAAGAATATGTCAAGATAACTCACAAAAGATAATTTTTACGGTAAAAATCATAATATTATCTTTTAAAATTATCTTTACTATTCCATTCGACGATCTAGAACCATGCTTACCCAACGGCCTCGATTACTTGGGCCGATGGTGTAAAATCGGGTCCAAACATTGCCCCCTAGTTTCCTTGAGCTTCGGCCCAAAAGCCGAATGGTTAAGGAAATTAGCGCAGTCGAAGAAATATATGGTTGAGGAATCCACTCCATAGCTTAACACGTCTAGAAAGAAACCTCGACGAGCTGGCCGAGAAAAACCAAAACGGGGTCGAAGTCTTGAAGCCCTGCTCAAATATATATGCATGGCAAGCCGAATGACCCCATGGACGATAGCACTAGCACTCGGCAATAATGCCTCACCGAGCTTTGCATGTGTGTTATATACTAATAACTAATAAAAGTGACTGAACCTTCTCAAGAAGGGCTTGTCTTGAACATCAACAAATGCAGGCCGAGAAACACCAAGGGCGAGGTGTAAAATAAGTTCTATTCGGCCAATCTTTTTTTTTTATATTATTTACTCGACTTCAGCGACCTTTTACTTTTCTCAACCTCAGCGACCTCGACTTAATATATTGTTTCAAGTTGCCACCTTATTTTAAGCCATATATATATATATATATATATATATATATATATATATGCATATTAAACCTGATAGCATGTAGCCTGACTGCTCGATGTGATGCCGATGTATATATATTAATCCCATGTCATCAATGCACATAATCTCAACCGCAATTACGGCCGAATTCTTTCCTACTTTTCTTGACTTTGGCCTAACCTAGACTTCGGCCAAAATGTTTTGTCTCGGCCCCCATGACTGTTTTTCTTTTTAAGCCGAGTGGTTGAGAAAATAAATTCTTATTCGTGACACCTCGGCCTATTGAGAAAACTGGTAGCTCGACCAATCAAAGTCAGCAATGCCAATTATACCATCTTCTTAAGCATCGGCTGAATAGCCGAATGGTGAAGAAAATAAATTTTTTTTTTTTTACTCTCGACAGAAAACACACAATGAAATACATGTTGCAATATCACATCTTCTTAGCAAATTTGTATTACTTCCTCGGCCAACTAATATATATATATATATATATATATATATATATATATATATTTGGATTGCCGCAATGTTGTTGCCCCCTTATTTTCTTATGCATCGGCTTAATTAGCCAGATGATTAAGAAAATAATTTATTTTATTTATTTTAATTTTTTTTTCTAAATGGAAATAAAAGTAGCCGAACCATAGTCAAGAGGAGGCCAACGATGCTTTATTCCAAACCGAGATGTTGTAATAACAAAATTTTGAAATTGATTTTGCTCTAGGCCGAATAAAGAATCACCTCCAAATACTTTTGACTTGGCGAAATATTTTTAATCATCGGCTGCCGAATGTATTGAACAATTACTACGCCCCCTGGGCATAATAATTTCACCAATTTCAGCTTTTAACTTAAACAATTTAACCGAATGAGATTTCTCCATATCGGCTTTATCACCAATAATCATATCAATTGGCGTGGTTTTTCCAGCTAGGCCTATGTCTCGGCCTTGTTCGTCATTGGAGCACTCCTTTAACGAATCATTTTCTAAGTCGATTTGTGGCTCAGAAACTTGAACTTTTGCTTCTAGGCCTACCACACTTTCAGTCTCGACCGAAAAAATAGGTGGTCTTTGTTCTTCGGCCAAATTAACAATTTTCTTAGGCCGCCGCAGTGTTGTTGCCCCCTTATTTTCTTATGCATCGGCTTAATTAGCCAGATGATTAACAAAATAATTTATTCTTTTTTTTTACTTTTTTTTCTAAATGGAAATAAAAGTAGCCGAACCATAGTCAGGAGGAGGCCAACGATGCTTTATTCCAAACCAAGATCTTGTAATAACAAAATTTTGAAATTGATTTTGCTCTAGGCCGAATAAAGAATCACCTCCAAATACTTTTGACTTGGCGAAATATTTTTTATCATCGGCTGCCGAATGTATTGAACAATTACTACGCCCCCTGGGCATAATAATTTCACCAATTTCAGCTTTTAACTCAAACAATTTAACCGAATGAGATTTATCCATATCGGCTTTATCGCCAATAATCATATCAATTGGCGTGGTTTTTCCGGCTAGGCCTATGTCTCGGCCTTGTTCGTCATTGGAGCACTCCTCTGAGGAATCATTTTCTAAGTCGATTTGTGGCTCAGAAACTTGAACTTTTGCTTCTAGGCCTACCACACTTTCAGTCTCGACTGAAAAAATAGGTGGCCTTTGTTCTTCGGCCAAATTAACAATTTTCTTAGGCCGAATATTGGTTGTGACCGGAGTGGAAATTTCCCCCCCCCGGTCTCTTGCCTTTTAGAAATTCTTCTCAATCTCTCGAGAAGTTGTTTTTGCTTCTTTAATAGGCGATGACACTCATCCCATGAAGCCTGGCCGAGATAGATCATGTGAACTTCGTAGTTTTAGCACTGTATCCCACTGGGCATGCCAAAATGTTGACCCTAAAAACTACCAAGCCTACGTGGCGTGCAGGCCGAGTAATCTACGAGCTAACTACATCATTCGGTGAATGCGGGGCGTGCCAACTCGTCGGCCAAGCTCGGCCGAGGAGTAAAATTTGTTGATGTTACGTTGGGTGCGCTGCTGACTTCTGAATCTCGGGATTGCGGTCGAGGAAGGAACACTCTCGGCCTTCGGGTTCTAGAGCCTGAAGACAAGGCTGCTAGTTCTGTGAAGTTCAATATCAAATTCGGCTTTCAATGTGCCGAATGTAATAACTTGTACCACCTCACTTCGCCGAGAAGGCTAATGAGATGACCCCGACCAATAAGGATTCAAAAATCTTTCTCGACCGAGACTTTGATAGATAACCAACCGTCATTGCCGCAGTGCTGTTGATGCCAACGAAAGATGCTACGAGATCGGTTGATTCTACGACGACATAGCTATCTATGCCGACTGAAGATATCATCGGTTGCTTTCACAGTGCTGTTGATGCCAACGGAAGATGTGTCAGCGAAAAGAGAAAATAAAAAATCTCAAAGTTGTTGAGAGAGTTTGCGCATGGCAGTTGTGTGTTGAATTGGAGGTCATTTTGAATGGTGCACGACCTCTTGTATTTATAATAACTGTATATCTGCTGCGACATCCAGGCTAAAATAATATTCCTCAGAATTATTTTTAATATCCCACGGATTGCTTTTCAATTCTATCTCTTGCGTGCAATCTCTTCTGAGCAATTAGTCTTTGATTTGATAATGTCTGACAACATCATCACCACCCTAAAAAGACCTAGCCACCCTAGGCTTCTTAAATGTCACCATTATCCAAACTTTTATCTTGGCATTCCCCCGTACTTTTAAACTAGGTGCATGCAACGAATGTGATGTCAATCTTCTGAAGATACACTCAAGCCGTTCTAATCCGCTGCACTGCTAACAACTCCAAATTAATCCGGACTGTTCCGCTTGCTTGGAGGTATAATTTGCATCTTATCTTATCGCATTCAAGAATATGTCAAGATAACTCACAAAAGATAATTTTTACGGTAAAAATCATAATATTATCCTTTAAAATTATCTTTACTATTCCATTCGACGATCTAGAACCATGCGTACCCAACGACCTCGATTACTTGGGCCGATGGTGTAAAATCAGGTCCAAACAGAATCTTACATCGAGAAAAAAGTGACTTTTCATGCATTTATAAGTAATTAAGCTACTCCTCATAATGCCAATTGGTTTTATGGTGAAACCTCAACTTTATTCATAGTACCAGAGCAAGTTGTCCCATGTGTAAAGCCCAGCAGCCACACATGTTCCACGTCATCCGATTTGTATTGCCTACATTAGGTTTAAAAATTCGTCACACGTGAGAATGCGTGTTGAGAGTGAGAATGTAATTAGACTACTTTTCATATTACCAATTGGTTTTATGGTGAAATTTCAACTTTCTTCAGCTTGGAGTCCTGATTTAATTTGTTGACTAACTTTCGTTTTCATTTTGATGCATGCAGATGAGTATGATCATCAATGAGTCTCTAAGGTTATATCCTCCTCTTGTTTCGATTGCAAGGAAAGTTGGAAGGGAAGTTAGACTCGGAAATCTCATTGTTCCGGCCAATGTTTAA